GATCCGACAGCAGTTGGGACCCCTGATCTAGACTGTATTGTGTTAACTATCTTGTTCAGCTTGGGGTGTAATACACAGAGGCCCAGAATCTGGAGGACCACTTCCTGCCTCCAGGGAATTTAAATTCTATGGAACTCTGTAGACAGGTGGATCAAAGACCTTGTCCTGTGTCGGTAGATCAGAGAGGACTATGACTTTACATGGTATGGAATTTATATCATGGACCCAATTTCATGATCGGGACTCTAGTGAGTTTAGGGCACTGGGGATGGTCTTGCCAAGCCCCCGAACAGCTCTGCTCTCGTTCGTGATGCTTGAAATCCCTTCTTTGGAGACAGATGCTTTCACTTAGCACCTGCAAAGCTGGCTTAAAATGCCCCCGCGAGATGGCTGACGCAGTGAAATTCTTGCTAAAGTGTAAACAACTGATATGAGCTTTATTTCTTAACAGCAACTTTGGTAATGGAAGGGCACCGGGCTAGGTCACGAAGGCTGAAGACAATCTAGGCAGCGACGTTTCTTCAGTTTCCCCGGGCGGCCCTGCTTCTGGCACCTGCTTCCTCACAAACCCTCACAAATGGCGGGAGGCCCCAGGGGGTCTGGGATGGCCTTCTTTGTTCTCTTCTTCATTCATGCAGCCAGTTTCCAGCCCAGGAGGGGATACCAAACACCAAGTAACCTCACGTCGCTGATTCACCAAGTGTGCCGTGCTGACCGCGGGTGTGGCTAAGGTCCTGCGGGGTCTCTGGCTAAGGTCCTGCCACCACCTTTTGTCCATGTACCTGCAAAGTGTGTATTTTCCCACGTCACGTACCCTGCCCCATTCCGGTGTCATCTCAGCCAGAGTCGGAGGTCACATTCCCAGGCAGAAGCAAAAGAGGTTTCTGCTTTGAGGTTTCTGCAGGCTTGAGCCTGAAATTCCCCTGAGCCCACCAGTCCAGCATCAACATAGTCGTGGAAAACAGGTACTTTGTGGTGGCCGGCATCCCGGTGTCTGGGGTGCTCCCGGTCCAGGTCAGTGTCCTGATTTTGGGATCGGCTGTCCTGCTCCTTCCAGAAGCCACTTCTCCCTTGGGCCACTGACACCATGGGGAGCCAGAGACACGGAGATCAGATCTGTGGGGCCGGCTGAAATCAGACCTTTGCCACTTATGCCTCTAAGGCCTGGCACTCTTGCAAGGGCGGCCCCATGGGAGGACAGCCACAGGGCACAGGATGCGCCCTGCCCCATGCAACTCATTCCTCGTTGCCCCACAGCAATGCCAGGTGGCCCAAGGAGCCCTGGGAACGCAGCGCTCCGTGGAGGAGCCCTGAGCCAGGTGGCTGCGATGGCTGTCCCCGTTTTCTAGAAAGTGCAGGGCTCCTTCCAGGGTGCGGGTGAGTGAGTCAGCCCGCGGGCGTGCTGGCTGGAACAGGCACACGCCACACGAGACCCTCTTTCCCCAGCCTCGTGGATCTTTCTCGTGTGACAAGGCTTTCTCTTCCTGGGCCTGACGAGTCCCACTCCCAGCCAGGTAAAAATGAGGGTGTCCAGCACGCTGGCTGGAACTGGCGTGGGATCTAAGCGGTGTTCACTTAGACATAAAAAGCCAAAGTGGCAGCAACAAGCATTTATTTCAGGCCAAAGAAAGAAAAAAGAATTACAATCGGGGGCATAAATTCAGACAGACACCCGAGTTATGTCCTGATTATAGGGTGAATGCCAGGGGCTTTTATGAGAGAGGGAAGGGAAATGATTACATGAATAGAAGGAAGGAGTTTCTGTGGGTGCTCACAAGCTAGGTTCCTCTTCAGCTCTACGTGGCTGGTGACCGCTTCTGAAGAATGTCCTTACTGTCAGTCCGTGTAGCCAGGGCGTCTGTCTACCTTCCTGTCAGCTTCACAAACAGCTGTTTAGAAGACAGTGTTAGTCTGTCCCCGTCCAAAGGTTATTTCGTCCAGTTCAAACATCCTAAAGGGTCAGGGAGCCAGACGTGCAAGGCCTCTCCTCTGGGATGGCGGCTCCGACACCATGTTGAAATGGCTCGCTTTCCGTCATTCTTTTCGTCGGTGACGGTGACGCGTCCCTGGCTCTGAAGTCGCACCTCCGGTTTTTCATCTGCGGGGCCGCGGGAATGGCGGCCCGTTCCGAGGTCTAGGGGTGGTGGGGTCGGGAGTTTAGCGAAGTGCCTGGCGCCAGATGAGCCCAGCGATGTGCACGGGCCCCAGCTCCTCAGGTCGCTTACGAGGCGGATTAGGCTCCTTGGCAAAGAGGATTTCATGATGCGACGTATTTTGTTTTTGTTTTTTTTTTTTTTTACCCAAGACGAACCCTCTTCTAAACACGGTGTGTGTCCTCCGTGCCAAGATCCTGGGATTCATATCTTAAAAGGGGTTTTCAGTGAAAGCACGGCTACCAGACAACCTGGTATTCACAAAACCACCAGGAGCAAAACCCATTGAAATACAGCATAAGGAAATACACATAATTCACAAATGATGTCGATCACTTTCATCTTCGACTTCCTAACTGTCCTCAATAGAAGACAGACGTGAAGGAGATTTAACTCAGATGTTAATAGTGCAAGAATGCCCCGTTACCAGGATATGATGTTTCGGTGCTGCATAAAAATGTAATTATATTCAGAACTATATTTAAAGATTAAAAGGGGGACTGCCTACCACATCTAGCCCCAAATTCAGAATTAGAAACAAAGCAAAATGCGGGTGGGGGGGGGATGAGTTCTAACAGTCTGCTAAAAATGGAAGTGTTTTTTGAAAGTTTTTACACATTTCGGCTGTTTTTATTTTAATGGTTTCCTGCGGTGATGACATCGATTTGGGAGAGGGAGGGCTAGAACTTTACCGGACAGACATTCATTGAGCACTTGTCATGTGGGAGGCCCCGTGGGAGGCTCAGGAGGGGACAGAGGCCACCAGATTCGGTCCTTGCTCTTATTCAGTGTCCGGTCTGGAAGGGGAGAGAAGAAATGTCTGGAGAAATATATTGGAGGGCATTGGGGCTTGAGGGACATGCCAAGGAGCAGATGACCTTTGTCCTGGGCTTTGAAGAGAGAGTTGGTCCTTGATAGGGACGCAGTAAATAAAATACAAAAATAGCTAAGCAATAGCAATAAGAACATTTTAGGGAGACTTTTTGGCCTCTCCAGAAAGATTTATATGGGGAAAGAATGTTCTCTTCCTCATTTATCTAATTTAATATCAGCAGCCAGAATGGATCTCTCCCCGCTGTGGTTCTCAGTACACCTTCCCTGCACACTCCCTGCAGCTTCTAGCTCTTTCTATTCCTATTATAGTTATTGGTGCACGTTCCTGTCCCTCCCGCTAATATGTGAACTTGCGATCAGCGGCTGTGTCTTCTTCGGCATTTCATTCTTCAAGGGCCTCATCAAACTGCCTTGCCCTTGGTAAGCACTTAATACATGCTCGTTGGGCTGAATTTTTACTAGGTAGTCTTTAAAATGTTTTAGGCAAAGAACATTTCTCCGTGTAAATATGTGACTAATATGCTGGAATATTAATGCACTACAATTGCCTAAGTGCTTGGTAGTTACAGATTTTTTTTTTTTTTTATCTTCGCTCCCCTCCGCCCAGAAGAAAAGTGGTTAGAACATATAGGAGAAATCCTAATTATTAAAGAACAGAGATGTCAAATACGGCGGAGGCAAGGGAGTATCCGGCCTGGAGAAGAGAAACCAAGAGGGTTTAGCTGTCACTGTCACGCGTTTTAAAGCAGGGGTTACTGACAAAAATGCCTCTGGGGTCAGGCAGGGAGTGTGACTGAGTGGGGGCGGGAAAACCCTGGCTCAAGTATAGGAGGATAAAGCCCGCAAAGCTGTGCAGGAGACAACAGGAAGTCGTGGGGACTCCGGGGAACTGGCGGCCACCAGACCCGGCTAGAGAGGAGCCCCCTGCTTACCTGGAGCCGATTCTCACTTCATAGGGAAGCAAGGCCGTGCGGCCACATCTTCTGATTTTCCAGGAGAAGCTGGTTTTGAAATTTTGTCTGTTAATTTGAAAGATATTTAAAACCCTCTGCAGGCCAAACCAAACATGCATTTGACCTGGGTGCCAGGATTTGCGAGCTTTAAGCCAGCGGTTCTCAAAATCGGAGGCAGTGTGTTTTTTGCCTCCCAGGGGACATTTAACAATGTCTGGAGACGTTTTTGATTGTCACAACTCGGGGGGATGCTACTGTATCCGGTGGGTAAAGGCCAGAGATGCTGCTAGACACTCTACAAAAGCGGTCCTCAGCCTTTCTGGCACCAGGGACCGGTGCTCCTATGAGAATCTAACGTCTGATGACCCGAGGTGGAGCTGAGGCGGTGATGCTAGTGCTGGGGAGCGGCTGCAGATACAGATGACACTTCAGTCACTGGCCTGCCACTCACCTGCTGTGTGGCCCGGTTCCTAACAGGCCACTGACCGTTACTGGTCCGCAGCCCGGAGGTTGGGGACCCCTGCCCTACAGTAGGCAGGAGCCCTCTCCCATGCACAGAAAGAGTGATCTGGCCCAGAATGTCAGCACAGTCGAGGCCGATTCTGGTTTGTGTGGTTCCTGGAGCTGGGCCGATGTATTTAGCCCTCGAAATAGGGAGTGGCTCGAAGATTAAAACTGCTGGCGACATCAGGCAGGGGCAGGGAGTCAGGGCCAGGTGCTCTTTGCAGAAATTCTGTGATTCAGTTTCAGAAATAGATTCTGATACCCACATATTCTCAAAAAGGACTTCAGCTCGGAGGTCTGTGAAATTTAGCCAGAGAAAACAGCTCCTAACCCACCTGTAAAGAGGGGTGGGTGTGGCATCTCCAGCAGGGTGTCAGAGGATTCTGCTTCCTTAGGAGGAGGCTGACCTCTGCTTCCTTTCTGGAAGGCCAGGAAAGGAGTTGCCTGCCTCAACTCATATCAAGGACCGCTCCCTTCCCCTACCCCCAGGACCTGAGACCCATCCAGCAGGAAAGCCTTCTGCTGCCACGTCCCAGTTCTAAATTGCAGGACCAGCTGCCTGGGAAGGGTTTCTCAGAGCTTTACTGACCAGCCTTTGGATGGCCTGGCGGGTGCATGGGCATCGCCCTGTCTTCCACCCACTCCTTGGAAAGGCCCCACCCTCACGAGGCCTTGGCGGACCTTCTCTCTCCCCACCGGTCTCCCAAAGGGAGCCCCACTCCGACCTCCGGCCATGCCTTCTTCTCCTCAACTTCAGAACACTCCTCAGAGAAAGGGGGGACCCCCAGAGCTCCCACCCAAGGGCGGTCCCCCTCCCAGCTGTCCTACTTGGCTCATAGCCTCCCAGGGCCTTGAGACCCCATAAAAAGAGGTGAGGGGAGGGTCAGCACATGCAAACGGAAGGAGGGAAACTGAGGCATGGTGCCCAGGAGCTCAGCCTGGAGAACCAGCCGGCGGTCACAGCTCCCAGAGGCCCTTCTCTGGGCCGCGATCCTCAGGGCGGCTGATGCCCGCATCCTGTTATTTCTGATGCTTTTTCTCTCTCCGCTGCTCCTTCGCTGAAGAAGGAACTTGGACCATCGCTGCAAACAGCCAGACCTG